AACATCGTTATGAAGTCTTTTCCTTTCTCATTTATATTCTTATATCGTACATAATTACGAAATAATTGAAAATTACTATTTCTTCTTATAAATATCCTCTTCCCATTAGGAGGCTGGTTATGAATTTCATTAACTTCTACCCAAATTTACATGTAAGCATCACTTTAAGAAGTGATTAGCATCCTGCCCTTTTCACCTCTTCTTCCATATTTTTCTCAATTTGGGGCGAATGACAGTTAACACTACGGATAGTGATGCCTTATTTGAGGACACTTATGAAAATCGTTGTACTTTTTCAAATTACACACATTTCGTCTTGCACTCTTCAAAAAAGAACACCGTATTCTAACCAATTCTAATTACAAGGCATTCGGTGAACCATAGTGTAATGTATAACTTCATATAACTGGACTAAATATGTGTCACTATTCCTTTGCAATCATTCTGCATCTATCTTGGAAAGGACATTTTTATAGCAAGACTCAGCAACAGTAGCTACATGTCCACAGGGTACTCTGTCTTGGCCTCTGGTCCAATTAATATAGAACATATCTGAATAGACTCCTTATATGGTAAGCTAGAGGGAAATTCCCAAAGCCTGTCGAATGATTTGCCAATCTGAGCATATATCCCGCTCAAAATTAAAAAGTAAAGATTCTTTATCTTGTCTTCCTTAATGCTTAATTCCCTCATTAATCCTCAAATATGTCTCCAAAACGTTATTCATGCTGCGATACGCATAATACAAAACATAAAATGAGATTCCAATATAACCATAGAAACAGTGGTACTGACGCATAGAACTTAAAATTGTATTATTACATATTACAATTACTAAGTACAGACATAAACGTCAATAATGGTGTCCATTAATACTTATGGTATTCCCTCCCTAAATCAAATGTATATTTATAGAGTGTTTATGTATTGTATCATAATAGAGCATTATGAATATCCTCTTTAATATGATCAACTTCTTAGAGTAAAACCTATCTTTTAGGAACTACAAGAATTTCGCACTCTACTGTATACATATTCCAGCGATGTTACTCTTAATTTGAACATCCTTTGTCACATTAAGGGAAAGTAGCGGCTCCGTACAGTATGCATATTGACTTTGTCAGTTCTTAGTTTAGATAAGAAGCCTCATACTTCTCTAGAAGATATTTAGTGGAAAGAATGACGACTCTTCTTATGCGGAACAAAATGTCAGTACAACAGTGCATGAATGAACTGATTGATAAACATCCCTCATAAATAAATATAGATACTTCCATTAATAATTACATTAATGCGCTCAAATAAAATATATTAATAATCGCTTAGCATATCCTCCCTAATTCCTAATAATCAGATTTAAGCCAGATGCAACTATTCTTCATACATAAGCAGCAGTTGCCCTTATATAAGGTTACGGATAATAGTTTATACAATAAATAATTAACAAGTGCTGGATAAATTATACCAAATGGGGCTATGCCTGCTCATATACTATCATTATAGTGAGGAGTTCATTTTAGTAAAACGAACATACACCATAAGAGTCTTTCAACCCACTGATTGTCTCTTATATTCTTATTTGAAGAACAAAGACGCCCATTTCTTTCCTTAGAGGGGGTGCATTCGTCCGCTAAATTTCTTTCTAATTCTCATAGAAGCATTCCTCTATGCGCATACAGATAGCTCTACCATGTGAATATCGGAAATTGACAACCAATAAATAACATTTAAAATATTCTTATCAGAGATTGGGAAAACATTTTCTTGCAAGTTAATAATAGACATACTAATAGCCCTCTCGCGGCTAATTATCTGCTTTCCTGTTGGAAGTAGTATCAATAAATTACTGATACCTCTATGATCTAACACATAAAGAATCCGCCGAATAATGTCTCCACAATTCGGGTATACAGTATGATATATCATAGTCATAGATATAATATTATTAAAAAGGCAGGTTTATTCGCACTGCACAGAACTTTAATACAAAACGGTGATCTAACAATTGCAATATAAAAAATGAATTCACCGCAATAACATTATAATCGGCATATATTATAAATATAAGTAAAAAATCTCTGGGTTCCGTATGAACTATGAGGATGCTGCGAACTAATGAGCGATATTTAGATCTGTGCACATGAAGAAGCAGATAAATTAGACCCGCAGTATTAATCTTCTCCAATTCTGACAAGGCTTCATAGCTCTGTCTGTAGAAAAACAGTAACAGGATCTATACTATTTATCCGCTTCCTTTTGTCTGTATTTCAACGCGATGATATCAGAGTGATAGATTTTCTTCTGCATGATAAAACATAAAATACCAACAGTCATAGTATGAATATATCACAGTTGTGCCTGAATAGCAGTAATAAGTATGATATTTGTCACTGCGACTTTTATTATCCTCAGATAAATACAAGGAATAATTTAATGGGCGTCACGTATACATATATTTTTTATGAGCACAGAAGAATTCCAAGACACATGTGGAATTCATAACCGACAACCTATCTCCTCTAAGAGTGGATCGAAAAGTTGTGCAATACTCTCCTATAACCGCCTGTACTCGAGAGTCCATTGTATGAATTCCCTGTAGAAGCAAGAAATCAAGTGATAAATACAGATCATTCAACTTGTGTTGCCACATTTCAATAACAACTTTCAAAGAATCGTGAAAGAACAAACGTATTGTGTACCCCTCCCATAATATCCATATTATTAAGAGAGATTCACTAGTGACATAGAAGAAGAGGAGGATACACATTTGAATATGAGTGAGAACTCTTCAGCAAACGATCTTACAACAGTATGGATTAGCATTAATATAAATGAATACGTGCTCTATGATTCGGCGCGTCATCACCGCACGTATAAATCCACGATTTTACCAATATATCTTATGGAAGAAGGATGAGAATAGCAGAGCCTGGAAAATAGCACTAGGTCAGTAAAACTGTTCCCACTCTGTATACTTCTCAATACAAGAAACGGACAGAGTTTAAAAACTGATTGTTCCGTATCTTCATGTAAAGACACTTAAGATATATTGAATATGGGCAGAATAGTAAGGAGTCTACGAATATATCTCTTATTATATCCTCCCGGACACGTAAGAGGAGACCATAGAGAGGAAATAAGAGAAGGCGCCTTAAAAAAAGCCAGGAAGCGGACGATTACCACAAGTACAAGGGGATGATAAAGTAAATCCGAGGGAAAACAACACCACCTAGGGACGCAGAGTGGGCAATGATGATTGTGAGCCGCTGCTTAATGTCGAAACTGTAAATCCCGAGGGAAGAGCATTAAATGGTTAACCGTAAGAAATAGACTTTAGCGGCTGATGACAGAACCTGAAACAGGAAGGATAGGCCTTTAACCATAAGGGTTGCACAATAAATCATACAACACAAACACTCAAAGTTGAAAACCAATTAATACAGCACATATCGAAACCATAAGAAATAAAGGGGAAACAATACAGGGTGGCGCCCCGAATTAATACCTGTAAAAACTAAACATGATGCCTAACGCAAAAACCTTCGGGCAAGTACTCTGAAGAATAATAGGACCAAATACACCAAAACACCTTGCAACATGAAGCGTAACGGAAACACCTGACAAGTGCAGCGTACACAGACGGTATAGACCGTAAACCTAAAGCGTGCGAGAACGACCCTACACTTCCTCAAACACCAATAAACCATAAGGGCATCCGATCAGTCGTACACAATGAAACTGAATCCGAAACCATGGAATCTGAACCGTAAACCGACAAGATACAACGGGGAATCCTAAGACTAAGGAGATAAAAAATAGCAGCGGGAAGCAAGAATAACGGGGCATATATGAAAAATTAACCGTAGGAATAAATACTAGAGAGTGCCAATACACGCTAAGCTACAGACCTCACTCTTAAGCCGCCAGAGCTAAGCCATGAGGTATACGGCTTAGTACCCAGGACCTGCCAACCAGACACTACACCCTAAATCCTAAAAACCTAAGGATGATGAGAGTACCAAAGGCGCCTAATCAGTAAACCTTACCCGCCTAAGATAACTTATCGGACAGTACTAATAAACGCTAAGGAATAAAAACATCCCCACGGCAATACACAGGCACCTGGAGGCGTGAACATAGAGGATAGAGCCTGACCACTACACTCAAGAGTGGAACCAGGGGGATAAAGAGTAGAGCATTAATCCTGAACATTAAAGAGTACCGAGTGAACACTAACACCTAACAGGACCCCACACCAGGATAAGCCAACAGCGCGATGCCATGAATAAAACTCGGATGAGAGAGGTGGCTACACCCTGCAGCCTAAGTGCGTACAATGGATGCCTAAGAAGCAGGAACTACAGGTAAAACGTATAGAAAGAAATGTCCTCATTAACAAAACTCCATAAAATAGGAGCCCTTAGAATTACGGAAAACTAGGCCAAGAAGGAGAGTAAAAGATGGAGAACAAGCCTAAGGAATAATGGAAGCGACATAGAGCCTCAAATCAGACGCCAACAGAACAGTTTAGCAGTACGCCATAGGAACCATATAATAAAGGAAACGGGCAAGGACTGACAACATACTTCTGCAATATAGACTTCCAATTCCTACGCCTGAACATTGCATGTGCAACAGGGTGCATGAATGATGAAACTTACTTCACCATCACTAAGACAGAAGCAATACCTGAAGCCCAATAAAGGTTAAAGCCTAGGAATTAACACAGAAAGAGGAAAGATCAAACTCCAAGCACTAGATCCAGCATCGAAAACTTAATCATTCTGGACTAGGGGATACAGCATAAGGAAGGAAACCTAATAAGTTAACAATACATGCAAGGGCAATAACCAAAAACTATAGACACCGAAGCATGAACAGTCAAGTCCTAAAGAGTAAAGTCAGAACTTAACGCCATAGTTTTACACCATAAACATGAAGCCTAAATGTGCACCTTAGGCGTCGAATTTGAATGCAGAGCCCTAAGAAATTGAATCGCAATGGAGAAAAAGAGCCTCGAAATTATAACCGTTGAACACAACCACATGGACAAATACAGGAGAAGAATCATAGGTTGAGCCTAACAGATAAAGGAGAAAAAACACCACCACAAAAGGAAGCAATAAGGAATAAAGAATAATCCAGGGGAAACCAAAAGTAACAAAAGAGTCGGGGGCCGAAATCTAAGGATCCCCCCTAAGACCGAAATCTCAACTTAGAAGCTATAGACATAGGACATGCAATCTACGAACAGCCCCCCCCCATAACCCTGAGTCGTCCATCCTATAAAGTACACATGCCCCCTGAAATCCAGGAAGTCGCAAGCCTGAACCCAAAACTTCCATGCTTGGAAACCAAATCTAAAGCAACAAGACTAGATGCTCGACCTTATGTCATACAATATGAAATCTAAGCCTAAACCATACGGCCAACAAATTACCCCCAGCGAACGAAACAAGAAGGAAACCATGAATCCTTAGTATCAACCCAAAAAATCAACAGAGAGCATCTCGCCCATAAGAGCAAGGTTAGAGCGGGATGCATGATAGAGTGTGGAACCTACAACTCCAAATATGAACCCAAACAGCTGAAAATAAAAAGGAGGTACAAAACCAAAAATCAGGCAACATAACATGCACGTAAGCCTCTGGTATAAGTGGTAAACACTAGACATTGAAAAGAGACTTACGTCGACGTAGGGACACCTGAGAACTGGGACCTATAGTACTGACCCATGAGGAATAGGCCATAACAACTGTAGGCTAAACCTTGAAGATTAGGACCTAAATATTAAACGAAAGGCGATACCCCCTAAGAACTACACAATACATCCTGGGACCATGAGATCTCGAAGTTCAGACATGGAAGAAGCAGCGTAGACGCTGAGAACCAAATCCTCCCCCTGAACCTTAAAAGATAAATGCTAAACAGTAACCCCACGAGACTAATACAGATGCCCGGGACCTATCCCCGTATCACAGACCAAAGAACCTATAGCAGACACCGTAGGGTCTAAGCGGAGGCAGTCAAATATATCAACTATCTCCTAAATTCTAAGTCAGGATCCGACAAAGGTATAAGTCGAGCATAACGATGCAACCCTGGATACCTCAGGAGTACTCCAAAGGGGGTTACCTTACGGAGGCCTAGAAGATGAGCACTGGGAACACAGAAATTAATCATAAATGCAAAAGAGGACAACCGGCAACATAAACCGTCAGCAGCAGACCAGCAAATTCAAGAAGAAGGCAGACGGCTAGTAAAGCCGTGGCCATGAATCAAACGGGAAAAATATAATGCCTGATGAAGAACTTGTCAGGAAGAAACGGTAAACGGTGAAAGCTAACCCCTAGACATAAAGCTTAGACCTAGACACTAAGCCCTGATGACTGAACCCTGAACCCTAAACCCTAAACCCTAAACCTGCAGCCTGACTCCTGAACTCATGAACCCTAAATCCTAAACCCTAAAGCTGAAGCGTGGATCCTGAACTCATGATCCCTAGAGCATGCCTAAACCTTAAACCTTGAGCCGTGATCCCAGAACCTTAATCTTGATCATCGAACCATAACCCCCCAGGTTGTTCCGTATAACGGAAACCTAAAGCAGGAATCTGCACCTTAACCCCCTAACACCCAAAACGACGCTCCTAGTAATCCCTCCCGAAGGACTCGAACTCTTCCCCCCCTACGACCTCGCCATCACGTCATCTTCTTAGTGCTCAAGCCCTGCGGCCTCGGCGGTGTGTTGAAGGTTGTCCTCTGTCACGTCCTCAGTTGTGTTTTATTTTCAGTGCTTACACGGAGGGTTATGCCCGCAGGGGGTTAATTTTAGTTAGGTGTTGACGGGAGTTGGGCCCCGGGGGGCACCATGGCTCGGTAATTTTTGGCGGATTCTATCACTCCTCAGGGGGGATTCCTTAAACTCAGGAAATATTGCTACGTTTGTGGGGAGTGTCGTGTGGTTTCCTGGAGGAGGGTCTCCTTTTGTGACTGTGGGGTTTGGCGGTTACACGCCTGGGTACTGTCCCCCTGGGAAGTGGGAAATTATCGAGAATTTTATTCCGTCGGGCAATTGCCGCATAGATGTGGGGGGTTTCGGCGCCTTTCAGGCATTGGTGGCTCGGACTGAATGTGTCGTCTCTCGGCACCTGCTAATTTTCCCTAACGGAGATTATTTGGGTTGTTTTTTTCCTCCGACGGAGTCTTCCCTTATTGGTCCCTGTCTGTCTTCTCTTTGCTGGTTCTTGAGGTTCTTGTTCATTGCTTCGTATAATGATTGCTCTCCCCAGACTCAGGGGGTTTGACCAGATTTTGCTCTTGGATTTCCCTGATTTGCAGTTTCGGCCGAGACCCTAATGGTATTTTAGACGCAGTTTAGCTGGTCCCCCTTGCGATGAGGCCCTAAAGATCCTCCTCCATATATACCAGCCAAACGGAATCATTGCCGCCATAACGCTCACACCTGCTATGGGCTTGGCTATTTCTGCTGCGGTGGAATCCTCCCCTCTCATAGTCACTCCAGCATGTTCACTGTACTTTTGGTGCATCTTCTTCTCCAATTCTGTCCTCAACTGCTCTTGCTCCTGGATTTTTGCCTGTTTGGCAGAAGAAAATTATTCCATGACTCTTAATTTGGACTTCTTTACCCTTTTATGGGAGAAGAACCTCTGGTCTCGTGCTTTACTCCGTCCCTCGATTCTGTGAACTGATCTTCTCTTTACGGAGTCTGACTGTTCCTGCTGCCTGTGGATACTTGGCCTGGAGTGTTTTTTCCAGTTGAGATCCTGTTGCTTATTGGGTGGTCTCCTCTTATTTCTCCTTCTGTTAATCGACCGAGAGGGCCCTCTTCCCCCCTGGAGGCTCACGTCCCGTGTTCTTTCTCTTTCGTTGATTCCCTGGAGCTTCACTTGTTTGTGGACCAGTTTTGGCTCTGTACAGATCCTTTGCCTTGGAGCTGTTGCCTCTATCCTGGTCTGGACGTCTCTCTCCTATTTGTTCATGTCGGCCTACCTGAAAATCCTCCCAGTTGTTGTCTCCTCTCACGTCACATGCTCCCTTTTCGTCCTCATAGACACAGACGAAATTCCTCTTGGGGTTGTCCGGTCCTTTGCCACACTGCAATCCCCATATCTTCATCAATTTGTGCCCGAATATTCCGCTCCAGAATCTATCTGCGGTTTGTTTTAGTTTTATTTTGCCCGTCCCCGCCAACGTTAATTCTTTGCTTTGAGAATACCAGAATTCCATTACTTCTTCTCCAACGTGCTTCCCCCCCCATTCTGCAAACCAATCCTCCAATACCTGACATACATCCTCGCCGTGGTATTTCAGGCCATCCTTCTCTGCCTCGATATTATTATACACCGTCCAGATTATTGAAACTATATCCATGCAGGCCATTAAACTCCTTTGTAGTGGATTCTCTGCCCTCAGCTCGGATACTCCCGTTATATTGTTCCACGTTATTCCATCGCCTGTGGTGTTACATTTCGTGCCTCCCGCTAAAGACCCTCTTAATCCAACTTGTCTTGCTCCGCAATCTTCCTCCTCCCATTCGGTCCTCTCGTGGACGACTTTTAAACTGTTCATCCAAATCTCAATCCCCGTACATATCATCCGCGCTATTTTATCGGTTCCTCTCATCACTGATCCTCCCTTGTGAGCCATATTCATCCATCTGTTTGAGGGATCGGTCATGGTTTCCGTTCCTGGTTTTTCCTTCAGATCCCACAGGAATTGTGCCGCATATTCCTTCGTCCCGTTCCCGGAAGGCGGTGGCGTCCTGTCGATGAGATGCTGCATCCAGCCGCTAAAGTTTGCCATAGTTCGGAATTTGTTATCTCCCCTGTTTCCTTACTTCTTTTTACCTTTCTTATTTGAACTGATCCAATGAGTTCCGGACCCCCTGTTTGTTCCTTCTCTTCGGAATTGGCCTGCAGCTTTTATTCCTTACTGGTCGTTATTCGTTCCTCCTTCTTTTCCTCCTGTTGCATCCCTCCATCCTTTGCTCGTTTGTATCGTTGTCCGTTTGGCTTCTGATATGTCAAGTTTGTTCGGCCGGGTTGCCCCACAGGGAACCTGACGTCGGTCCTGCGGATGCTCACTTGGATTTGCCTCTCTCCCCTTGTTCTGCCTGTCTGTTCCTCTCTTAACTGTACCCCCGTCGTCCTAACGCATTTTTCCTCACGTTTCTCTCCTTGCCCTCCTTTCGTAGCGCCGATCAGGGGCCCCCCCCGTCCCCTCGTTTCTGCCTCCTCGCCCTGGCTTGCTTTGTCCTGGTCCCTCGTCTTCTCGT